ATGACTCGAAAAACGTACAAGAATTTAGACATTACACGTCGTTTCCGAGCTCATTAATATACATCTCAAGATCTCCTGAATATATTATGACGGCCGCTGAAAATTCCTTTGAGTCGTAACAAATTTTTTGACATCCAACGAACAAATTTAAATTGCCACAAATTGTGCGTTATTATGATGTGGGTGCGAAACTTACAACGGTCGAAAAAAAAAGGCTCCGGTATTCGTGATAAACAAATCAGCATCCTCATCGTGGTTTCTTTCTGTAGACTTACAACCACGTTACCTGAAACCAGAAAAAAAGGAAGTAACTTGCGGTTAAATGTTGTGGTAACCGTGTCGAATCAAGATTAATTTTATTATAAAGTCGCCGACTCTGTTTTGTGTGTGTTTTTTTAGGTAACGGTGCTCTTCTTTGTATTGTTTTGACTTGCCTTTCTAAATGGTAGGTAACAGTTATATTTATACCCTTTCCGAGTCACGAGGAAAATACAGTGCGTCACTTTTCCATAGACTGCAGGCTAAAGTTTAATTGAAATAAATTGTTACTTTGTAATAAACATTGAAATTGGAAAGATAATGGATAGACTTCATGAGTGAGAGAGAGTAATGGGCTTATCCTATAATTGACCGTCATGAAACGTTAAGAAACTCAATCCTACATGGTCCATAAACTGCACTTCCTTTATTGCAGGGGTATCATATTTGAAGAATCCGAAATTGGGACGTACATCCGCAGGAATCTTTTCTGATCTTAATGGAATCCTGGAGCAGAAGAACCAGATACATTTCTTCTAAGTAAATACAGAGTAGGAATCGCCACGTCCTATATACGTTCAGCCAATTCTTAAAACTTAGAAATAGGCTGGAAGTTTGAATGACGTGTATTTAAATTTAAAGTCAACACCCACAATTTTAAAATTTAGCGTTGAAAATTCGAGGGTGGCAAAGTGCACAAAAAAACAGGAAATTTTTTAATTAAAATTTGAAAGACATTCGTAGATTTAAATGTTGACTTGAAAGAGGGTTTTAACCAAGGCTGCCTTAATAACCCACCCAAGTTTGGAAGAAAGTCGAAATTTAAACTTGAAACTGAAGGATTTAAGGATTCCCAGGAAAGTACTTATTTTTCACTTCAAAACCAAAACTTTAATATTTATGGTTATGATTATTAAACTTGAAGGTTGATCAACGTTTATACTTATATTTGAATGGCTGCTGAAAGTTTAATTCAATAGTAAATATTGTGGGTTGAAAGCTGCACAAGGCGTGGTCCTGAAGCGAAATTCATTTAATATTTGAAATAAGGACACTGCCCAAAAAAATTGCCTTTAGAAGGCGTTTGTAGCTTAATTTCGAATTTGAAAGTCTGAATTTCAAAATGTAGGGACTCGCATGAAATTATACCTACTTTTAAGATGAAATTTGGATGCAAAGTATATTTAAATTTGATGTTTCAAAAACGTTCGCAGTGTTAGAATCAAAAATTTCAAAATTGATGACCGTGACCTCACAAAAGATATTTCGGGCCACGTTTTCAGTTGTCATTCTGTAACATGGGTTCGAATGGATTGTTGAAAATTTATTTTGGGTGCCAAAATTTCTAATTTTTAAATTTAAAATCGCCGGTTTGAAGGTAAACCAAAAACCCGAAAGTAAAAAATGCGAGGCCTTAAGACTGCAAAAACAACAGCTGCGCTTTTGAAACAAATCCCACAAATTTTAGATTGAACTTTTACCTCAGAAGCTGAAAATTGATTTTGAGTGCAAACTAAATTTAAAACACTTGAAGGATACAAAATGATCATAAAGCACTTGGAACGCGACTTTCAAAATACACAAGTCTAGCTTTAATAAGCAAGATTTTAAAATTGTAGGGTCGACGCGTGCATAAAAAAATATTGAAGCCATAAGAAGATATTCGTAGTGAGATACATATTTTTGAATTACCATGTATATAAAAATTTCAAAATCAAACGTTGCAGTGAATAGGTAACTTTCATTTGTTAATTCAAAATTTAAACGAGTACAGTCTGTTTTTTCGGTTTTTTCGAGGGGGGATTCAGAGCGTGTGCGCGCATTTAGAGATAGAAGGGGACACGAGAGGTCGCTTACGCAAGTAGCGCTTGGCGTATTTGCATGTGGCGTTTAAATTATTAACATTTAGTGGAAAATGTGCTAAATATTGTTCCACAAGTGCTTTCCCATAAACATCCACATTATCATTAGAATATTCACTTAAATTTTGTCTATTAGTTGAGATAAATCTTTTCAGATTGTCTGAAATTTTTCCTGAATTATTTCACAATTACGTCGGAACTTCAAAACTAAAATCTTAAAATTTATGGTTACGGTTCTGAAACAATTGATGGAACCCTTAATTTGAAATATGGAACTTGTAGACTACACAAAAAATAATATTAGGCAGACATTTTCCAACGTTGGAAGGCGTTTGTTCTTCCAATTTGAGACCCAAAATCTCAAAACGGCTACAAGAGATGATGACAGTTTTAAGCCGAAATCTTGATACAAAATATATTTTAATGTGAAGAGGTTCGTAGGTTCAAGTCTTGATTTAAAATCAAAAAATTTTAAAATTCGTCATCTAGATCGTAGAAGAGATACCCTTACGGTATTTCAAGCCGTGATGCTGAAACTTGAAGTTCAAGTCCTCTGATGGTAACTGCCAATCTTAACTTGATACTGTTTTTTTATTGTTCTGTAGTGTAGTCAATATTGCAGCGTTGTCGGGAAAGTTGGGAAAACAAGGATTTAAATTGAACATCGACATTTGAATTTTAAAATTTAGGTTGCACAAGAAATATTTTCAGGCTAACTAAAGATCCAGAATTGAAGATAGCAAAATCCACAATCAAATTGCAAGCTATGTTTCCAAAACAAAATTTCAAATGAAATTTGAAAGACATCCCTGCTCTAGATCTTAATTTGAAAGCCGACAGAATTCGAGGATTAAGCACGCTCAAAAACATTTCCGGTTGCTATTTTGTAACTTGAAGTTTGTCACACATTCGCAGATTGAGCGACTTATACCCAAACTTTCGTATTACGTTTCTAAGAAAGTCACAATTTAAGGCAAACATTTGAGCACTTGCAGGATGAAGGATACTCAAATAATGAGCAAGTTTAATTTTTAATAGCATATTGTAAATAAAGCGAAATGGCTTGACATTCATATCTGAAACCTTTAATTTGAAATTATGGAATATGAAGACTGTAGGGAGGTGTTCGCAACTTAAATTTAAATTTGAAAGCCTCCCTACACTTGACCCTTAAGGACAGTTATGTAAAAATGTGCATACCATCATTATGGGCCCCCCCATACGAAGCAGATTTTATATGAATCATTTTCTGATATCCCGTCTCCTGACATCTTTACTAAGCAAAAATGATTGCTTTAATACTATCGTATATAAACCGCTATTTATTTTCGTTTGTTCCGAATTCCATTGCTATAGTCGGACAAAAACAAAGTTTACCCCTTGTTAAATTAATAATTCTAATTAGTTCGCGATATTCGATAATTTTTGTGATACCTACGTTGTCTCGATTTTTTACTTTTATTTGTGTTTATATGTAATAATTCATTTATTGTCCACAGACAAAAATGTGGGTTACTATTTGAAACTATTTGTCAGATAAACTACTGACTTTATTTTCCGACTACTTTTTATAGTTATACCTATAGCATAAAATTTAGAAAATTCCGAAAACGTCAACATTTAATGAAATTTTAAGATGTCCAAAGGACAGTATCGTAATAGCTACCTACCTCGCGCTAGGAATTTAATAAAAAGGTTAAACTTCAGGTTTATTAAGACCCCGATAGTTTTAAATTTTAACTTAAAACATGTCGTAAAAAGACTGCACAAGAAACAGATACTTGGAAAGGAAATTTGTAGCTTGAGTAATTCATTGCCAACATGAATTTTTAATTGAAAGTTAATAGTTAAGCTCACGAGCTTTAATTTTCAATTCGACAGTGTTAGTTTAAAAATCTAGAGCATGAAGGCTGCGGTGGAACTAATTTTAATTAAAGAAACTTCAAACTTTTTTGGAAGACATAGCTTTAAATTTCAACTTGCAACCCTTAAGTTTAAAAGCCTTAAAGATTAATAGATAATTTGGAGTTTGAAAAATGCACAAAAATTTCCAGACGGGATTTTGATACAAAATTTTTTAGCTTGAAAGTCAAAATTTCATAGTTTTGAAGTTGATGGGTGAACCGAAATTTACACCGCAACTTGAAGTGGAACTTTGGAGATGTTCACTTTAAAGTCAAAAATTCTAAATCCAAAATTTGAAAGAAATTAATAAAATATTTCAAACCTCGATTCTGTAAAGAACGTTTATTATATTCTGCTCGCCAGAAGACATGGTCGGTCACAGAATACCTGATGCCCTACAATCGTATGTTTTTCATATTTCATGGAACGCATAATACATTGGGGTGGTTGGAGAAGGTATAAAAAATGATTAGAAACTTTCAATGTAAGGTAAATCTAAACTTAAAACTAAAAATTTAAAGAGAAGGAGGCTAGGAAGGAGGTTACATGACGTAGATACAAAAAGTTTGGAAAACGTGAATATAAAATGTTTTCATTTACCCTGAAAGGTAAGATGAACAAAAACAATTTCCCTTTCCCTTTAATCTCTTCTCTTCGACCCTAAAATTTCCTCAAGGGCTCAAGGCCTGTCTAACCCCAACCTCAAAACCGAAACGTAAAATGTGGTTCTCGATCACTCTTTCTATTAGGTTTTTAAATTGTCCCAAACAGAAGAAATTCTGAGTCAAATTTCGGTGATTTGGAAGTAAAAAGAATTCCATGATTCAATGCCTACTTTCCCTGAGCGTATACCCCTTGCTTTCTCGTTTACTTCAGAACAAATTATTGATTTATTTAATTGGGCTAATAATTATTTAAAACTTGAACATAACATTAAAGCAGGTTTTTTTTAAATAAAAGTGTCGCAGCACCTACCTTGCAATTCTGCAGCAACGTAACACCAAAACACAGTGAACCGGACATGCATTGACAATGGTCACGCAATGACTGATATGAATTATATTGTTATCACCGAAACTGGTCCGTTTACGCCGTCTCACATTTCCTTTTATCACATGTAAGTCGTCACCTGCTGATTAATCATAATTATTCTACTTTTATGAATTTCTACGATATTTTTCGTTTCAATTTGAATTAACACATCCATGCTCAGAGTACTTGCGAGCCCTCAAGTGTTTGTACCTAGACCCTTTGTGCTGGTCAAAAACGTATGCAAAGTTTGGAAAAGCCAAGTCTTTCATTTCCCAAAATTCATTTTTTGCACCCCCTTTTTGTCTAGTATTTTTTTCGGAACAGAAATTGGTAATTATCTTAATCATTATAATAGCTACAAAGTAAAACGAGCCTTCCATACCCAAATTCAGAAGTTGACTGGTCTGCCAATAAATGCCACTGATCGTAAATCAACACAATCGCGGTAATTACAGCATCCGATGAATTAATGCAACTTTGATCGATGTGCGATATTTCTTAAAGCATTAAATCAATTTCTTGCCTTTCGATACGGCATTACAATATAAAATCAATAGTTTATTTCCTCGCTATATTTCATAGGAAACATTTTTTTGCTCGCAATAAAAATATAAATCGACGACGTGTAATGCCTATACCAGTGATCGGTCGATGACATCGATTTTTGCATTATCGTGCAAAGTGTACGCCATAAAGAGATATCAATTCCTTACGAGGACGTATTTATGATGGCATGAGAACTGCAAGTCAAAGATTACAGGAATTTTTAGTTTTTTTCGCGCAGTTTTGCAAGGTTTATTTTTATGGCTAAGTAGTTCAAGTACGAGTTCCAAAAGAAGAGTTGTGCACGTTTGGAAACTTAGAAACATTCTTTATACCTGACGTACACGTACAGAACACTATAAAAGATCTAAAATGTCGAGTCTCTTTATTGTTTGACAGTGTTATATTTGTTTAAGCATTATTATTCAATAAATAGGAGGAATTTGCCTCATGATATTCTTTAGACTTTAAAGTATGTCCGCCCTGTAATATTGGCTCATAGAGTACATATCCTCATTTGCCTCAAGATGATGTTCGTCCGTGGAAATTAGCCCACGATATCATCCCCCAAAGAACATTGGCAATTCATCATTATCTTAAAATGTCCACCATTCCTCTTTAGAGTATGCATCGTCAAAAATTTACCCCGGAATATTAGTCCTCACAAGAAACAGAAAATATCCTTTATGAATCTTCAAAAATGTGGTAAATTCGACAATTTCAACTTAGATCACATTTTCATTTTGTCTTCTAATTGCGGTTTATAAGTATGTGGATATACGGGGTGTAGCACCTAAGATCTCTCGGATCATAACTCCTTTACCATAAAAGATACCGAAAAAAGTCTTAATGCAAAACTGTACACAATTACCTACCGCCGGCATGTTTCTAAAATATTTTTGATCACCAGTGGCGTGCTGTAACTTGCATTTTTTTAAATTGAATACCCCACATTTTATTACTGATTTAGAGAAGAGTACTTGAAAAGTACTTATTTTTTATGTAACATGTTATAATACCCGTAACTTTAACGGTCTCTCTGTTATAACCTTTTTTCTTCAAAATTTGACAGTTTTTCGGAATTTCTTTTGAGAGATACTAAGTCACGCAGGCGGCTAATTTTTGAATTGAGATAGTCTCAGAAGAGCACTTGAGAATCTTTAAAGAGAGTTTTGCAGAATTTTTAAAGAATGCTTAAGGATTTAACAATTATATTGGAAAAACTTTCCTGAGGGTCTTTAGAAACAATTCACTATTACAGCAGATTTTCTAATCATTTTTAAGGAAGAACCTTTAAATTATTCCAAGAGAATCCGGGATGACTCAGTAAGCATTTAGTAAGAAGCTCCAAAATTTTTTTATAATTTCTTTAGTCTTCGTAAAATCTTAAATTAGTACCTATCTCTGAAGGTCCTTGAAAGTGTTACTCTATAATTATATCATACATTTTTGAATAATTTCTCAAAAATGTTCATAAAACCTAACCTTTATAAGCATTAAGAAATTTAACTTTTTTATTTGCTTAACTTTTTATGCAGACCGGGGTTTAGACAACGTTGCCTTACCATCGAATTATCATTAAAATGCAACTATGGGACACTCCCTTTTAAAAACCCTCTAAAACTCCAAAAAGTATCCTAAGAATTTAGGAATATTTATTTATTTAATTTGGACTTTATCTTTAAGTGGGAGTTTCAGGGGTTTTTGCAAAAATTTTGGAACATTTTTGCAGATTTTCTGAGAGATATTGAAATATGGATAGAAACACGTAAAAAGAACCTCTGAGGAATCTCTTAAATATAGATTTTGAAGGATACTAAAACAATCTCTAAGGCTAACATCATAAGGTAGTTCAAAAGAAGACCCGAACAGTCTGAATAATATTTAAGGATCAAGAAACACCAGAGCATTTCTGACTAATTTTTAAAATTATACATACATATATTACATTTCAGGGCTTATGGAAGATCTGGAATATTTGAAAAACCTTCAAGAGTCTTAAAAATCGCCGAAGGATGTAGAAATCCTTCACATAGTCACGATTAATGAGCGATCGTCGAGAATTCTTTCGAATTTCTCTACTCCATGAGGCATTTGAATGATATGGTATCCGTTGAACCAGATTTACTGGAATTGGGTAGCTCACATGTCAGACTTTATGGGTAAAAGCCATGGAGTCTAGCAGTTACCCGCCTGGAATACTTGGCTTCGTCACTGAAAATAGTGACTACTGAGCTGCACCCAAACTTTCTTCATAATTCAAAATTCAACACCAAGGAGAGCACTTTTCGTTTCAAACTTAACTCAGATGCTCTAATTAACTCTAGATCATTTTTAGGACCCAGGAGTCACAAATAATTGGAAAACCGCGCTCTCGTTTTGAGTGTATTAATAAGAAAAAGTGTTTTCCCGAGAAATTTTGGTGTAGTCGATTTTTGGTAAAAAAGGAAGGTTGTACACTGCCTTTTTTTATGGCTCGAAAAGAAATTGTCTCAGATCCAAGGGAAAAAAATATTTTCTTATAGAATGTGGCCTGTAGAATCCATAATTTCAAACAGTTCCAAGATCGGACTACTAGATCTAAAGTTACAGCCCTTTGAATTTTTTGTCGAAATTGGTTTCTAGTCTATAACTTTTTTTTGAGAAGTCTAATCGAAAAAGTACGAATCGTTTTGGATTCTACGCACCAAAATTAATAAGAAAAAGTGTTTTCCCGAGAAATTTTGGTGTAGTCGATTTTTGGTAAAAAAGGAAGGTTGTACGCTGCTTTTTTTTGGCTCGAAAAACAATTGTCTCAGATCGAACGGAAAAAAATATTTTCTTATAGAATGTGGCCTGTAGAATCCATAATTTCAAACAGTTCCAAGATCGGGCTACTGGATCAAAAGTTACAGCCCTTTGAACTTTTTGTCGCAATTGGTTTCTAGTCTATAACTTTTTTTTGAGAAGTCTAATCGAAAAAGTACGAATCGTTTTGGATTCTACGCACCAAAATTAATAAGGAAAAGTGTTTTCCCGAGAAATTTTGGTGTAGTCGATTTTTGGCTCGAAAAAAAATTGTCTCAGATCGAACGGAAAAAAATATTTTCTTATAGAATGTGGCCTGTAGAATCCATAAAATAAAAGTTACATATAAGACGATAAAGGGATATTTTACCCAATGAGTGAAAGATTAATTTCTCCCATTTTGTATCCTGCTCCGCGTCCCATTTGAAATAAGAATGACATATGTCTTTAAAATGCTTCAGTTTATCTACCCTGGCGGTTAAAGTGATCACCTTTGTATGGTTGTAGGACAATTCGCACCCGAATAATTCGCTCTCGGACATTTCGCACCTGGACATTTCGCATCCGGACAATTCGCACGCAGACATTTCGCACCAAGGAAAATTCGCACCAAAGATATTTCGCACCCGGACGTTTATGTCCATGAACTTGGCAGGCCTACTACAGCAGACCATAGTTCTACTTACTCATATCGTTAGTGCTCCGTTAGTGCACGTTAGTGCCGCTGAAGAAATCGTTAGTGCATAAAAGGAAACTTACTATTTTTAAAAAATATTTGTGGGCCTGCTAACTTCATGCCAGCAGACCCATTTGAGAAAATCGATTCAATCTTTGCACTAGTTAAACTAGCAGCGTTAGTGCTCGTTAGGGCCGCCAATATAAACGTTAGTGCTCAAAGTGCAACAGCTCAAAACGTCGTAAAAAGGGGTCTGCTAACTTCATGCAGCTGACCCACATTTGTCAAATTGGCTCAGTCCTAATGCAAATTTGAAGCGGCTCGTTAGTGCTTCACATGCGAACGTTAGTGCTGCAAGGGATCCGCGTCAAAAAGGTACCAAACCACCTCAAAATTAAACTTGACTTATTGGGACCTGCCAACTTCACGCCAGTAGACCAACGAGTGAAATCCGTTTGATTTTCTACTTTAATCGACCGGTAAGTATTAGTGCTCGTTAGTGCCGCCAATATAAACGTTAGTGCTCAAAGTGTAACAGCTCAAAACGTTGTAAAAAGGGGTCTGCTAATTTCATGCAGCAGACGCACATTTGTCAATTTGGCCCTGTCCTAATGCGAATTTAAAGCGGCTCGTTAGTGCTTCACTTTCGAACGTTAGTGCTGCAAGAGATCCTCGCCAAAAAGGTACCAAACCACCTCAAAATTAAACGTGGCTTATTGGGACCTGCCAACTTCACGCCAGTAGACCAACGAGTGAAATCCGTTTGATTTTCTACTTTAATCGACCGGTAAGTATTAGTGCTCGTTAGTGCCGCCAATATAAACGTTAGTGCTCAAAGTGTACCAGCTCAAAACGTTTTAAAAAGGGTCTGCTAATTTCATGCAGCAGACGCACATTTGTCAAATTAGCCCTGTCCTAATGCGAATTTGAAGCGGCTCGTTTATGCTTCACATTCGAACGTTAGTGCTGTAAGGGATCCGCATCAAAAAGGTACC